TGTGTTTGTTGTTGGGGGGGGGGGGGGGGGGTGTTTTATGTGTAAAAATACGGTATTGAGATAAGTAAAAAGCTGGTTTTGCTTATTTTTTAATACGTTACATTTAAAAGTAATGAACATTCAAAAAAAAAAAATCATACTTCCTGCTGGTCTAAAAAAGAAAAACAAGAATATGCCAGGTTCAGCCTACATGATAGACAGACCTTATTGTTAAGATCTGGATACCAGATATCTACAGCATGTGTCCCACCCACAAACACTTTTGTTTATGGAATTAAGCCAATTTTTTAATTTGCCTATTTTTCTAATCTCAGACGTTTGTTCAATTCACACAAAAGTGCTGTGTCCAGAACTGTCACAAGAGCTTTGCTAATCCCAATGACAAGATGGCATAGACAATTCAAGGAGGGGAAAGGCTATTCATGTCTTCAGAAAATTACCAAAACAAATCCCATGACTTTCCACCACCACACTTTTTACCACAAGATTGGCCATTACAAAAATGCAGCAGGAACACACACACACACACACACACACACACACACACACCCCCCTGAGTTCACCAAGAACTTCATGGTGTATTGCTGTGTTACATATTCTGGTCAGGCAGAACTTGAGCTAGCAGCAGGCACAGAACCTGCCTCTTATTCCAGAAGAAAAGGAATCCCGACACTGGAGCTAAAAGCAGCTGTCCCATGCAATACACAGAATCATAGAAAATTAGGGTTGGAAGGGACCTCAGGAGGCCATCTAGTCCAACCCCTGCTCAACGCAGAACCATCCCCAACTAGATCATCCCACCCAAGGCTCTGTCTACCCAGGTCTCAAACACCTCCAAGGATGGAGATTCCACCACCTCTCTGGTGAAATACTGGGACAGGTTACTTAATCTCCTAGTGAGAAAGTTTTCCCTTATATCCATCTTAAGCTTCCCTTGCTGAGCCCATTGCTCCTTGCTCTGTCATCTGCCACTACTGAGAACAGGCTAGCTCCATCTCCTTTGTAACCACCCTTCGAGTAGTTGAAAACTCTTATTAAATCCCCCCTCAGGCTTCTCTGCTCCAAACTAAATAAGCCAGTTCTCCCAGCATATTCTCAGAAGTCATGTGCCCCAGCCTCCTAACCAATTTCACTGCCCTCTGCTGGACTCTTTCCAATTTGTCCAGATCCTTTTGGCGGCGGCGGCAGCAGGGGGGCAGTCAAAACTAGACAGTACTCCAGATGTGGCCTCACCAGTGCCAAACAGAGGGGAAGAATCACTTCCTTCAAATTGCTGGCAACGCTCCTACTAATGTGGCCCAGTATGCCGTTAGCCTTCTTTGCAACAAGGGCACATTGTTGGCTCATATTCAGCTTGCTGTTACTGCCTACTGTAACCCCCAGGTCCTTTTCTGCAGAGCTTCTGCTTAGCTAGTCAGTCCCCAGCCTGTACAAGTGCATGGGATTGTTCTGTCCCAAGTGCAGAATTCTGTACTTGTCCTTACCAAACTTCATGAAATTCCTTTTGGTCCAACCCTCCAATTTGTTGAAGTCTCTCCAAATCCTAGCTCTACCCTGCAGCATACTGCTCTACCCAGTTTAGTGTCATCCACAAGCTTTCTGAGGGTGCACTCCATCTCATCTTCTAGATTGTTGATGAAGATATTGAACAAAACTGGCTCTGGAACCGATCCCTGGGTCACTCCATTTCATACTGGCTGCCAACTAGGCATCAAGCCCCCTTTGAGCCCAATCCAGCCAATTTTCTATCCACCTTACAGTCCATTCATCCAACCCAGACTTCCTCAGCTTGCTTGCAAGAATGTTGTGGGAGACCATAACAAAAGCCTTACTAAATTCAAGGAAGTCCACTGCTCTCCCCACATCCACAGAGCCTGTCATCTCATCATAGAAGGCAATTTGATTGGTCAGGCATGACTTGCTAACTGTTCCTAATCAGCTTCTCCTCCAAGTAATTAGCAGATCCTCAAGGAATCCATGTCCACATGATTTTTCCAGGGACTGAAGCAAGGCTGACTGGTCTATAGCTACTGGGATAATCTTTCCCTCTCTTGAAAATGGATACTATATTTACCCTCTTCCAATCATCCAGAATCTCTCCTGATCACCATGAGTTTTCAAAGATAATGGCTAGAGGCTCTGCAATCACATTGGTCAACTCCCTCAGCACCGTCAGGTGTATCGCGTCCCACCCCATGGACTTGTGCACGTCCAGCTTTTCTAAATAGTCCCTACCTGTTCTTTCAGCACTGTTAGCTGCTCACCTCCTCCCCAAACTGTGCTGCTAGCCTGGGAGCTGACCTTGCCTACAGAGACTGAAGTTTTTTTGTTTTTTGTTTTCTTTAATTTAAAAAGGCATTGGGTACTTCAGCGTTTTCCGCATCATCTGTTGCCAAGTTGCCTCCCACAATCACTAAGGGACCCACACTTTCCCTGATCTTCCTCTGCAGACATGGTCAAGAAGTTCAAGGAGAGCCACACCCACCCAGCCACCCGCCAGCCAGCACATAGTTACCACATCAGAAGAGGGAAGAATTCCATGTAGTCAATTATCCTATTTTTGAAAGTAGCCTTTCCTAGAGGCTTCAGAGGAAACAAGTCTCCCCTGCTATTGATAAAGAATAACGTATCTAACCATGCAGTATTCTGCTACTTGCTGGAAGACTTAATATGATCATAATAGGAGGGATCCTTAAATTCTGACAGCAACACACAACACACACTTCTCCCCAGGATATAGAAAGATTCTTACCAAGTAAGTCACCAGATAGATTGACAGGCAATATAACACACACTGACAAAATGCTCATAGTAACCAGCAAGCAGATGATGTGGCGCTGGAAGGCAAGGTAGTGTATGGCATCATCACCACACTTCTCATTAATCTCTTCCTCACTGCAAAGACAGAAAGACACAGGATCAGTTTACTTTGCTTCTTGGAACGAAAAAAAAACATTAATATCCAAGTCAGCGGTGCTCAACCTCCAATCTAAGGGCCAGATCTGGCCCGCCCATAGATCCAGAAATATAGTGGTGGTAGTAGTGACAGAATCCCACCTGCAGTGGTGGGGAAGCAGTGGCGGGGAAGCAGTGGCAACATTAAATTGCTGTGGCTGCAGGAACCGCAGCAAGTAGCACTGCCACCACTCCCCTACTACCAAATGTATGGACTCCTGGAAAGCCTCATGGGCTGGATGACACGGCTCCAAGTGCCAGACTGCACTGGGAACTGCTGCTACCATTGTCTGGGCTCCCTGTCCCTCCCAGTTCCACTGCTTGTTCCCACCACCATGGATGGGGTAACATGGCCTGCAGCGCTGAGGGAGTTACGGCGGGGGCGGGGGGGGCAGGCAGGACTCAGAAACCCCTCACGTCCTCGTGTAGTACAGCAGTATGTGGGGCTGGACTGATGTGCCTGGTCACACCCATAGACTGGCCCTGTCCTACATCAGGCCTGTGGACCAACGCCACATGCGGGATCTGGCCCCACAGTACTCATCCAATTCACAGGATGGGACAGGCTAAGCGCCACCAAATTAAGCCCTAGAACAACTACCCTCTGCTAGACTGAGAAATGAAAGTGCAGGGGGTTCCCCCCCCCCCCCTTTTTTTTTTTTTTTTTAAATACATCAGCATAGCACTTAAATATTAAAAGGACTTTTTTTGTGCTGACATTAATACAGGTTTGCTAACTGGAGAGAAATTTTCAAATTCAAATATGCCTCTAGAGCAAAATTCACACTAAAGCATCAGTTGACTATGCTGCAAGAGACACAGGGTACTCCAAAAACGTTGTACGCCAGCAAAAGAGATGAGGGGTGTTGTTTCAAATGCCTTCTTACAGCCACATGTGGGGGAAAAAAATATTCAACAAACTAACAAGTTGAGCAAATTTCTACTTTTCTGGACAGGTAATAAGTGATGAGGGAATGTAACAGACATTTTCTTGTTACTAGCCTGAAACCAATTGAATGAATATGCTTTGCCTCTGGGCTGATAAGTTTTCATGACAATTTTGCTAACTTGTGTCAAATCTAGGTGTCACTTAGGGACAGGATTTCCACAACAGGAGGTTGAGGAGGAAAATGAAAACATGCAGATCTTAGTTTCACTCCCAACCCATGGGCCACCAATTAAACATTCATCTAGAGCTCATTTGGGCTCCCATACTGCCAATTCTACTTCTCTTGGTACTGTCTCTCAATACAGTCTATCACTTCCTTCCCTTGAAAAATATCAAGAAAAGTAAACCCTGGCTCACTACTGTTTCCTGTACTTACCGCATTCGAAAGGCAGCCATCATCCAAGAACAAAACCCCTATAAATAAAAGGTGAAGTATGTTAGATTCTGAACATGAATTGCTTCAAAGAGATATTGATGTCTAATTTTTCCAATTAACGACTTTTTCCATTAAAACTCACTCTCAACATGTAAACAAAAACAGCTATCAGTTCAGTCTAGATAATATCAGAGTTCCATATCCCATTTATATTCTATACACATACAGAGAACACACCCAGCACCTAAAAATGTCACTTCATATATAGTGATTTACAATTTGCTAATATTGGGAAGCACAAATGTTGACTATTCAAGGAATTAAACAACTAAGATAAATGTATACACTTAATTTCAGTAGTCTAAGAGTTTCTGAACTGAAAACATGATTTTTAAAAAACACCCTTCAAAGTTCCCTCCCATTTCTAAACAGCCTTCCATTCCATCCTATCTCGTGCAATCTCCTTCTACCTTGTCACATCTTTGCTTATTCCTTCCAGATGAGTTTATGTCATAATCCCATCGTTGCCTTGTGTGATACCCACCACCTCAGTTCCAAAATCTGCTTCACATGCCTTCTTTCATCAGTTCTCATGATACACCCTACCCATTTTAGTCCCTGCACTCTTATCTTGCTCAAGACATCGTCTTTTGTAAAGACCCACAAGCTTTTCTCCTCCATAGTCTGTTCTTTTGTACGACACCATATCTTTTCCTTAGCATTCTGTTTTCAAACACTTGCAGATTTTTCTCCCCCATTTGCCTCCGTCAGTATCCAGGATTCATATCTATACAGAAGGACAGGTTGTTCAACTGTACTATAAAGTTGGATTTTAAGGTCTCTTGAGATTCTCCTTGCAGCTAGGCTCAACAGGCATACAATTAGAACTGTACATTTTTGCCTTCATTTCTTCAGTCTTTTGGTTGCCCTCAGTGATCATTGTTTCTAAATATTTAAATTTCTCTGTTTTCCATCTTGTTATTCTCTATCCTTATCTTCCTTTGATCTTGAGATTTATTTCTGGATGTGATCGGGTATTTAGTCTTGCTGACACTGATAGTAAGCCCAACTCCTTTGGTGTTTCATGCTAGATCTCTGTATTCTTTTATACCATTTCCATTTTCTCTCCTACTAGGCAGATGCAATTTGCATAAGCAAATACCTGGTGCAGACCTTCTCATTTTTCTCTTATGACCTTCTCAAGCATCAAGATGAAAAGCACTGGTGACTGTGCTCTTCTTTAGGGGTCCTTCTTTAGGTGTCCTCTTTAGGGGTGCACCAATAAAGATTTTCTTGGCCGATAGCTGATTATTAACCAGCCATACTGTCCAATACCAATCTGATAACCAATTTAAAGGAATGCAGCCAGGCAGTGTGGAGAGCAGCTCCCTGCAGGTAAGTCTGTGCAGGGGAAGCGACATGGGTGAGGGGGGCAAATTGAGGCTCTCATGGTGAGGGAGAGAGTGCAGCAGGGGCTGGGGCGGTGAGTAGTACCGCCCTGCCAGGGCCAAGCCAGGGCAGTGAGTAGTACCCAGGGCCAAGGCAAGGAGTGGGATACAGCTGCGGGCGGCTCGTCCAGGGGATCAGTATCCCAGTGCTTAAAAATGGTGGTGGTGGTGGCGGCACTTGAACCAAACTAAAGTTCATTTGATGGGCTTTAAGTGCTGCTGCCACCATTTTTTAAGTGCAAGGATGCTTTTAACCAGAGCAGAGCAGAGCCGAGCCAACTGGAGTGAAGGCAGATGTGGACTGCCTGCTGCAGGCTGAGGGCTCTCTGCTCTGCTGCCTTTTCCTCAGGAGCCCTGCACCAGCCCTGCAGGAGGCACAACTCGCCACCCCCACCACTAATGGATGGGCAGGGGACATGCAGCCAACAGGCAAATAACTTAAAGGCAAGGGAAAGGCAATAGAGTGGAGAGCCCGAAGCCCACAGCAAGCAGCCCACATCTACCCCACGCACAAATGTGGGGGGTACATGGTCCCCCATGCCTCCCCCCAGGAGTGTACACAGCAGCAGGGAGCCACCCCCACTCCCGACACCTCCTGGGTGAGCCACCCACAGCTCCATCATGTTCCCTGTCCTGGGTCCCATTCATTGCCCTGGCTGGACAGCGCCCCCAAGCCCCAGTCCCTGCTGCACTTTCTCCCTCATTGTGGGGACCTCAATCTGTTCCCCTCACACCCCTTCCCCTTCCCAGCAGGACCCCAGCCAGAAGGCATATTGTATTTATAAGTGACATTATTGGCTACACTGGCCAAAAAAAGCCAATAGCTGATTATGTTAATTTTCCTTTTAAACAGTGCCGATCCAATATGCAACCGATATCAGTGCACCTCTAGTCCTCTTGTTTGAGCCTGCTATTGATTTCCGTTGGGTCCAACAGCTTTCCCTCAGTTCTCATGGAACTCATTGATACTTCAATGCACACCTTAATAAACCATACCATTTTGGGGGGGAATTAAAAACTCCACCATAATTGATCATGGTGACTTTCTTCTAATACTATCATAAGCTTTGACATCTTTTGCAACTTCTCATTTCTTTTCCAGCAACAGCTTTGTTGAAAATACCTGATCACAAGTTGATCTTTCCTGAACTCACAGTGGTACTCTCTCAATTTTTTTGCATCTGTGAGCCATCAGTTTAGCAGCACTTGCGAAAAAGCTCTGTATGTTGTGTGATACCCTGATAGTTATTACACTCTCTTCAATGACCCTTATTATTATTATTGTCTGCTTCCACTGTTCGGGCATACATTCTTCTCTCCAAATCTTTTCAGTCATCTTGTGAAGATGGCATTTTAATGCTTTGAATGCAAACTTTCAGGCATTTAGCTGGAAGACTGTCTATCCCTGGTGCCTTAATAAACACTACCTACCCATACAAGCGTGTTGTGAAAGTTAGCTTTGCAATACTTGTAAAGGAGAACTCTGTACACAAAAAGTTCTCTACAAGGCACAAAACATGCATCCATGTTACACTTTTAGAGAGACTATTAAGCCTTTGTTCCCTTCTTCCCAAATTTTGTGGGGAAAATCTTCTATTGTAAAAATGACACAACACTGGTAAATTATAATAGCATCGCACTGTTTATAAAGGGCTAGAAAAAAAGAAGCCAAGAAGTCTAAGGTTCCAGAATAAACATATACACTTCATATGTTAGCATTTCTCACACTGGGAGTGCATAGATGCCCCGCCATGCACAACCTAGTTATATATACCAAGTGCAGAACAATGGCAGATTCCACCGTATAAAGCTACTTCACACACACACACACACACACACACACTTTATCTTATGGGTCTAATTCAAATACTGACCCTGTCATATTCAAGGTCATCCATTGCTGATGAGGACGATGATATCCTGCAGTGTCTTGACTCACTAAAATATGCAAAAAGACAAATCTAAGTTATTTGTACAAATGCAGAAGCTCCTCCATGTCTGATAAACCAAGTTTAACAATTCTGAAGTGGGTCAGTAAGGAAACAAAATAAAAACAAAAGAGAAAAACTAGAGTAATTAGTTTGCATTTCCAGATTGAATCATAGAGAATTTTATTTTAAAACGTCCATGCTTCTATTCAGCACTCGAAAGTGAGAAAGGAGAAGATCCTGAAGTAACAGAGTACAATAAACAAGGAGAGTGCAGTGGTGAGACAGTAATGACGCACAGAATTTGAAGAAAGTGGACCACTAATTTGGTGCCTAATAAGACAGGGTCTGCAGGCTTCATTCCTGTTCAGATTTGCAACATTATATAAAATATCATCTTTCCCCATCTTCCCCTTCCACATCTCTGCAGTTTCTGCCTCACAGTCCAGATTTACCCTGTACCCTTATGAGAACTGCCTTAACTCCCATTTTTCTGCTTCTGCAGCACAGTGAAGAACTTTTAGTGCATCTTTCATCTACTGTAAACCAGGGAAGTAGCTGTTTCCACTTGTTAGGAAGTGAAGTGGTTTCCTCACTATGGGTATGTCAACACTGCATTCAGAAGGTTTAACTGCAGCATGCATAAACATATGTGCAGGTTAAATTGAACCTAACTCATTCACTCACATAATGCAATGAAGATGTGGTACCACAGGCTTCAGTGAGGAAGCCTATGCTACACCATCTTCATCCCCATTGTTAGCCAAGTTTTCTACATACAGGTGAGCTCAGGTGCATCACAAATCACACTTCCCAACTAAGTGCAGACAGGCTCAGAATAAACACACACAAGTTTTTCTTCACATATGCTTGGGATATATTATAGCTATTGATAGTAGTAGCTTATGGTAAATGCAAGAGCACTAAACTTCAACCCACCTTACAAGAAATATTTCTTCTTGAAGTATCCATAATATCATCAAGCAGAAGCAGTTAAAAAAAAAAAAAAAAAAAAAAGGTCACGGGATCATTCCAGCTTCCATTAAAGACGTCAAAGCTCTTAGAGACTTCTGCTAGGGCAAATATCAGGCCCTTTATGATCCATACAGGGACGGAGTCTAGACAAATTCTGGGAAGACTTGTATTAACTGTTACATTGGGAAGACCTTTGATCTGAAGACAGCCAAGTGCAGCAGTTAATATTCTACTGCTGCAGAAAGTGTAGGCACCAGTAAGTCGGCAGATGATGTTAACAGATTCAAGCAGCCTATTGCCTTTCTTCTTCCCTCCACTCATGATATCCGAGAAGGATTCATAACCACAAGTGTAAACACACAGCTTTATTTATTGACACTGCAGAAAAACTTTCAGACAAGGAAGTGTTTCACACACCACAGTCAGAAGAGAATTTTAAATAAGAAAGAAAAATGAATGCAAGTCCAATCACACTTATTCATGCAAGCAAGCAAGCTAACAGGAACCTCCTCATCTTTCCTACTTCCACACCCCCACATGGTTTTCAGCAACACTATACCTTTCAGTTTCTGACAACAAGGCAAGACGACCATAATCCCAGAATTTCTTCCTTATTACAGAGAAGGCCAATATTAAGATCTAGAAGATAAAAATAAAAAAATAAAAATTGTTTACTTCCTATTTTTAAATTTCAAAATTATTATTTTGGAAAGTAGGATTTACTGTAGCAAATTAAGTCATTGACCTGTCAAAAACACCATTCTACTTCTACAAGTAACTGGCTCTCGATAAGTGATCCAGTCACCACCAAACTGCAAACCTGTTTGTTTGGGACTTCAGAGAGAAGATTAGAACTTCAGTACTTTTGTCCAAATTGCACATCTTGGCCAAACTTTAAGATAAAAATAATCCCTTACCTCGAGTTCTATTAACAAGGTACACACACACCGCGCACACACAGTACTTTACAGTTAACTGCTTCAGAGGACAAAGAAACCTTCATAACAGACCTTTACTTTAAATTATTAAAACAAAGGCCCAAACTAAGATGACTAGCTCACAGGGCAAGTTTTACAACCATGCCCTTAGCCTAAGCATATACAATTCTTTCTTGTGTGGCTGAAACACAAGAACTACTTGAACCCTTCTTAGCATCCATAACTACAATGAACATAGCTCAAAAGACTAAATCATTCACCAAGACCTTTTATAAAATCCCTTCCTACAGATTAAATCCCTTCTAGCAAGACAACCAATTAAATTATTCAAGATCCTACAGATTCTTTTCTAACTTGTATTTCAGAGATTTACAGAGAACTTTAAAAAAAAAGAAAAAATCAACAATCAAAAGCAGTCAAATGGGAACTAAAAAACTTTCCCTAAACTTTTTATATTTATAAAAAGCTGGCAACAAACCACAACAAAGAGAGGAATGAGGGAGTTGTCATATAAATTCAGACTATTGGCCCTTCCAGTTTGATATCCAGAGGTGAATAAGTGATTCTTAGAGGAAACCAAGAAAGCCCCCGTCTTATTATGTAATGCTGTCCAAAAAACAAGAGATCCCCCCTAATCTCTGCAGAGCAGCCTAGAACATAGACGTAACATTTTAAAATCAACCATTAGAATGAAGCACATCAGTTCCCAAAGAACATCCAGCATAGATTTCAACATCACAGCTCACCGTCACATTCGTTCAGCATTAAAGAACTCTGGATCCAAACAACTGGTACCCAGCCTGCTGGAACATGCATACCAGGACAGCTAAGAGAGTTTAACTACTTCATTTAAAATTATTTTATTTTGTAAATTGGGCTCAAGATCTGGTGGACCTTGTACTAGCATGTCCCTTCAACAGGCCAAATTTGGGTTCCTTTGCAGTACAGTTTCCTAGATTCTTTAAATTGGACAACTCACTCCCTGAGTCTCATTTTAGTATTGGGACTAAAAACTGATAGATAGCGCTTCAGAAAAAAACAAAACAGGATAAACTGTGAGATCAACTTGCAGTTCTGCCTCTCCCACAAACTTTTTAAATTATTTCTGTTCTGAAAATAAATCTCTCTTACCCTAATAGACAGGGAAGAGAATTCTGAACAACAATGATGTTAGACAAAGTGTGAACTGTTGCAACTGGAAGACTTGGGGGCGGGTGGAGGGGGGAAGCTTACCAAAAAGCAGGTAACATCCAGGAGCAGGACTGTAGGAATTCCACCAAAAGTTACTCCCTGAAGTACAGTGCTGCCCTGTGCAGTGCTATAGCAGTACGTCTCATTTGATGAATTGGCAAGTCCAGTTCTGTTCCAGAAGTAGACTAGACGGGAATGTCCAATATCAAGAAATAGAAAAGGAACCATCTTGTGTCTCCCTCAAAAAAGAAAAAAAAAAAAAAAAGGAAGTACAGCAGTTACATTAACAGCTTGCCTAATGAGTCAGGAACCATATGAGATACTTGTCATAAAAGTGCAAACAGGGAAAGCATTTAGATCAAGTAACATACAGTGCAAGAAGCATCAAAGGAAACTAATCTCACACAGAATGAAAGTGTGACCATTATCCCCAATCACCAAGAGAAATTATGGCAAAATTTCACCACCAAACAGCCTCCATTACCAAAACACTGTTCAGCAAAGGATTCCTACTCATCTATTTTAAACTCTCAACAAGACAGAATTCTCAAAAAGCCAGGCATCAAAGCTCAAATACCACCTGAGGACAGCTGCAGAACACCAATGTTAACTCTTGTATTCCACCATCTATAACCATTAAAATTATTGAAATATTTGAAATTTGATTTCTGGTTCCTAGAGTCACCTATTCCAAATAATCTATTTCTATCTGTTTGAAGGATTTCATACTTTTATTTTACCAAGCACTTGTGGACATCTTGGATGTTACCTCATTCAATTCAAAATAAATTCACATGAAAAGGTCAGGGAACATTATAAGGTTCATTACACATCCCATTAAAAAGCTACTATATGCCTACTTAGTGATGTTTAATTAATGTTTTACATCAATTAGATATCCCTAGATGAAAGGATAATAAATGTATTAGCTATTTAACAAGAAACAGTAAGGCATTTAAGTTTTTCAGAAAGTACTCGGCTATCCAGTTCTACTCAATTATAAATTAAGCTACTCAGTCTATTACCAACATGCAAAATTCTACCTTTCATACAATGGTCTCTTTTACCAGTGAAGGAAACTGCTTACTTACTTGTGGATTTACTGTTTTCAAAGAAGTGTCTTTTCAAATCTTCTTTATTAATCCTCAGTGACTTTCAATTACTTGGAATAAAAAAGCATTTCAGGTGCAAGAGATTATTAGTGACAAACTCTCATGGAGAATACAGCTTTAAAAGCTCAAACTTCTTGGGAGCAAAGATTATGGATCCTCATCACAGTCCAGAGACTACCTCCTGGGTGTCATCTAGTATATCCAACTGTAAGCATTTGCTTCTTACAAAAGTGTTGCTCAGACCTGTAGAAAATACCGTTCTAGATTCTGAAAGAAACAAAGAGCCATTTTATTGTTTCATCCTTTCCTTATCTTTATCGGTTTACTATTGAAAACTCTGGAGGCTGTCTTATTTACAGTGCAAATGCAAGATGGGTTGAGACAGTAAAAGCTGCCTTACCCACCTCCTTCCCCATAACCTTAAGGAAATGCTCCTTGCAATATTTTTTTTAATACGTATCTATAGGCACTAGATCCAAAAGCCCCTCCAAATTCATTTAAAATAAGTCAAGCACCCCTCATATCACAATGACTTCTAAGTCCCTACAAACTCTGCTTGAATTTATCTCAGTGACCAAATGGTAAATGTTCCACATCACAATACCAGTTCCCAAACATCCACTACTCACTCATGATTAAGCATTTCAACACCTGTACGTTCACATGACCTATAAGCAACAAATGCCCTGAAAATTGCTACCATACTGAATATAAGTATCACAGTATTTCAGAACCAGTGATTTTATTCTTCTCTTTTGGAGCTTACAGGCCTTCTGTCCACTGAAGTAGAGTCACATCTTCAGCCTAGAGTAAGAGTCAATTACCTTTCTTCTCTGTCATATTAGCCATGCTTTCTAACACCCGGTTTGACAGAAAAAACCTGGAATATTTCTTGAATTTATTTTGTAAAAGATTGCTAGGACAGATGTGAAAGCTACAGGCTTCAATTAAAAATGCACTACTGGGTCTGATCAGGGCAATTCCTAACTTTGTAAACTTACTTGTTTGGAAACTAGCTAGCAGAAAGTTATCAGGAAGATTACTTCAGTGATTGACAAGTAGGACACCTGCCATGTGGATGTCACTGGGGACCCGATGCAGAAACCAAGTTCCAAGCTTGAATTTGTGACCTTTTGGGGGAGTCTGACCGATGCTGTGGACCCTACATTTTTTAACAGTCTTCACCAGGATTCTCTGTTGAGTCTGCTGATTTTTCTAACAGATTCAGAGTTCTAGAGCAAGAGGACTGCTAGAGCATCTCTAAAGAATCACAGGGTCTATGGCTGATTTAGGTATTTTGCCACCTTTCACCCTTCCTCTACTCCGGTGTGGCTCCTTTTCTGCTCGAGGAAACGGTGCACAGGTGAGTCCACCACAACTGGGCTACCAAGATGGTGCCTGCATCTTGTCAAGCTGAACTGGTCTTCCCAATGCTGCCTGGCCCCTTTCCTGCCTAGGGGAGTGAGGCAGAGGTAACACACCCTGACCAGAGCTGAGGGGTGGGGAGGGGGAATGCACTTTGAGCGCTTCAGATTGCTTGGTGGGCAAAAATGGTATTCAATCAGGTTTGAAGGAAGAGATGCACACCTTCCCCTTTTGCCCCTTCTCGGCCTAGCTCTTGCCCTGAAGCCTGCAGGGGTAGTCGTGCTACTCCACTGCCTCAGAAGAGGTAGCAGAGCCAAAAAAGCAGTCTTCTCCAAAAAAACTCAAACAGAGCCCTCCTGGGAAATGGCGATAGCTAGCAGATGGACCCTTGACAATTCAAATGCTCAGCCAGCTACATGGCACAAAAGGCCTTAGCCTGCCTCAGAGAAGACCTACAGCAGAGGGCAGGTTACTGTGGGAGCAGGACATTCCCCTGCTACTGGTGACTGACACGGCTGTTATGTCCCCTCTTCTCCCCCCCACCACTTCAAGTAGGCCTCAGTACCCAGTGAGACATACCTGGGGTCCTCAGCACAATGCAGAACCTGAAGGGTCCTTTTGAGATTTGTCTTCATGGCAGAGTTGACTTGAATGACCTGTGTGAGCTTGCCTAGCTCCAGTGACAACATCCAGCCAGCACCTACAGAGCTGCATTCACTTGCAAGCGGCACTAAAGCTTCTGCTCGATTCATCTGGGTCTACCCACCTGAAGGTCCAGCAGCAGATAGCAGCCAATGCTATGAAGCTGCCAGAGCGTACGCACATGTGCCTGCTTCTGGTGGCTCCACTCAACAGCTGCACCAATAGAGCACAAAATTCATCTCGGGGAGGCACTAGCCGCTGAGCAGAAGTGGCAGAGAGCACACAAGTGTTTACACGTGCCTTCTACCTGCTGCCAGACCAATCCAGAAGCCTTGCTTCACCTGGCACAAAAGAGACCACCACCTCGAAGGAGGCCAGAGAGTGAATGTGCTCCAAGTCCCACCAACAGAACTGAAGCCCTGCCTGCTTCCCTCTGCAGCATGAACTTGGCCTAAGACTTCTGCAACCTGCCTCACAGAACGTGCTTCTGGTGAACTGGGGAAGCACTCACCTGTTTTTTCCTGAGAGCACAGGGCAGGCACTGGAGCCTGAGCAGCACTTGAGTGAAACCAGTACTCCACCGACACTACAGACTCTTCACGTTGGCAGCTAAAGTGGCACCAGCTCGAGCATTATTAGCCTCTTCTTACCCCTGCTACATACACTACACCAGGGTCCCAATCTATGGTACAGGCACCACCAGTGGTACACAAACAACCTGTCAATGGTATGCATTAACACATTTATTATAATTATTTTATATGACAAAAATGTGGTGGTGGTACTTAAGGTTGTATCATTTTAAATTGGTGGTGTGCAATCCATCAGAGTTTGGGAACTGCTGTATTACACAATTGACTGGTTCCTCATGCAATACATTTAGATCAGCCATCTACGCAAACCAGCTGTCTATGCAAACCAATTTTCACACAACTAGCTGGGGAATGCCGCAATAAATGCAGACCAGTCACATGTCCAAGGTAATTATCACGCCGTGAAAAGGACTCTCCACTTACAAAAACAGCCAGCCAGTTATCATGACATGACCACTCCACAGCTGGTTTCTACCCAGCTTTTGTTGGAATGAGCGGCAGGGCCCTTCCCCCAGCCAGCGCAGCAACCAGGGCTAAAAGCCTTGCCAGGCTCCAGCATTGCCAGCAGACCAGAGGGCTTGTAACTTCATAGGCTTGGGCACTGCATACAGACCAGAGGGCTTGCAACTTAACAGGCCCCTGCATCACAAGCGGACCAGAGGGCTCGCAACTTCAGCCAAGTTACACTGCAAGCACTCTGGTCCGCAGGCAGCACTTGAGCCCAGCCAGGCTACTTTAGCCCTGGTTGCGGAGAAGGGCAAAGTTTGCAAAGGCAAGAAGGAGCCCGGCTCCCAGCCAGCTGCAAAGCCGCAGCCAAGCAAGCGTGACGCGGGCTCGCCAAAGGAGACCCAAGGCTCTGCCAAGGGACCCAAGGGCTCCGGGAGCAGCGGGAAGACCTACCTGCGCTGCTCCCAGGCTGGTGTCTGCTCCCCTCACTTGCTAGGAGACGGGGGACGACAGCAGCACGCCCAACGTAGCCCGCGGCACCTGCCCCGCACTAAGGCCCCTTTCCGAGAGGCCAGGGCCACCCCTGCCCGGCTCCTCCAGGCCTTGGGCTGGCCCGGCAGAGCCCGCGAGGGGCGAGCCCGGCCCGCCGGGGGTGCGTGCTTGGCAGGGCAGGGCAGGATAGGGACGGAGCTGCCTCCCCCGGGGCGCGGGCACAGCCCGGTACCTGCGGGGCAGGGGCAGCGGCCGAGGTGTCCCGCTGCAGCAGGTCGGAGCCGGCGCGGGCCCGGGCTGCCAGGGGGGGGGGGGG